GGCCACTGGGCTGTTGGACCAGATGCAGGCTTGCTTGATGATTGATTGGTCTTCTGGTAGGTGGAGGTCGTAGGATAGTTGGTAGAAGACGGAATAGGCGCCTTTTTGCAGGGAAGCGGGTTAGGGTACATAGTTCTTTGTGTATTGGGAGGTTGGATGGATGCTTACCAGCTGAGTATCCCGATATGCTGATCCGGGAGGGATTACCTCCGAAGAGGGCTATGTTATCTCTCGTCCATTCGAGAGCTAGACGTTGGTCCCAAAATCCCTGATTTCCGACTGGTTCACTGACTGTGGCGGCATCGTGCTCCAGTTCAGAGGAGTACAAGAAGCCAAAGACGCCCAGACGATATGCTGGCATAACCACGACAGCATTGAATGCTGCCTCGCCTAGTAGAGCGCCGGCGGAGAAAGCGTTAGGGGTTCCGAATTGCAGAAAGCCTCCGTCTGGTACAGGATTTTGATTAGCCATTGTGATAAGGTATTCTTCCAAGGTAACTTACGGATAAAGACGAGTACTGGCCACCCTGAAGAATTAACTACTATTAGTGTTGCTCTTTTTCTTCTCAGGAGGCTAGGAGAATGGTCGACCTACCGTCCTTGGGTGGTTCACCGGCGGGAACCCAAACATTGCATTGAAAGCAATCCTCACTCAAACTATCCCCGAGGGAAAGACGCGGGAATCTAGGCTGGGGGCAGACGCCAGTTGCTCCAGCGCATTGCCCGGGGTGATCTTTGCTACCGTAGGAATACGATGGCGGTAATTTCTGGGCTTTCCGCCATCGTTCAGTCGGAGGCAAGGCGTAGCGGACACCTCCAAAGTAATGACACCAGGGGGAATTGGTGGTTCTATCTGTGAGAGTAACACCCTGTACAAACCCACGATGTTCGAGGGATTTCAGGCAAGGACTCCGCAAGGGTTCCATGGTGTGTCTATGCTGGTTTGGAGTAGGCAGGCTGATGTTTGGTGGAATGAGCGGCTCAGTTGTTTGTTTTTCAGACACGTTGACTTGCGGACCCCGAAATCGGGTAACAACTTGTAAAGAGCCAATTGGTATCTGGTAGAATAGTCTTACATGGAGAAACACTCTTGAATAGGCGCTATTGCCGTATTATATAGCTCCTGAGGCCGTGGAACTGGCGATAATCTCCCCGCGCAATGACCCCAACCATGGCGGCGATAACAGGCTTGATAGCCGAGTAGATAGAGTGGGTGGGGCTATTGGAGAAGGCCAGGGCAACTCATAGTTGAGAACCGATCGGGTCGGCAAAGGCGCCCTGTGGGAGAAACAGATAAGACAGATGAGGAGAAACGAAGAGAGAGAAGGATTGGAGGCTGCATGGCTTGGGGAGAGCTACACAGGTGATCTGGTTCCGCTTCGGCGCTACATCTGGACCCCGGGGGATGCCCGAGGCAGAGATGTCAGCCCCAAGACCAAGGTCAACCAATAAACCTCAGTATCAGTCGTATTGGATCCGTCGCATAATTCCGAGATCATTCCGCACAGGAAGACCATAAGAGTAAAATTGCCGATGTGATGGATCTGGGAGGAGCGGAACTGCCGTCAGACGCAACGAGGATCTATATCTTATCAGCCATCGTAGCCCCAAGCCCTAATACGATAGTAACTTGATCCATACTAGTATATAACCTTGAACGATGCCAAAGGCTCGCCCTTAACGGATATTGCTGGCGTAATAACTTTTTCTTTTGAGAGGTCAGTTCGACTGTGATTTGCACACGAATATAATAGCTAACTATTGGACCATTGTCTAGTATTCTGTGGCCTTCAACCTTGGGAATCCAAAGTTTCATTTGCTGCGATCCCCGCATTTGGCAACTCACCTGACGTCAAGCCGCCATCAACGATCGTCCAACGATTCCATTGAATTATACATCAGTCTACGCTGATTGATCGTTCCCATATTAATTTGACTATTGGACCTAAGCGGATCTGGACACCTCTGCTCCCGCGCCAATAATGATGAATCATCAACGTCTTTGGTTCATCTAGAGCTCCCCAAGACCCCAGACAGTTACGAGGCCTGCATGAAGAGTGATTGGGTTACTGGGGGGATTTGCCCCCTGCCGGCACGAAAGGGAACACAGCTGGGATGATGTATCATTCATCCAGACTTTGTTCCATTCCTTGAGTGGCCCTTTCCCTTACCCCTCTCGCTCTCTGAGCCCGCCCCCCCGGCTATTGAGCCATATATTACGGTCGTGTGTCCGATGGTGGCTCGTCCCTCTTCAGTTAAATTGGTGTGACATCTTTCATCCATTTATCAATCAATCTTATCGACCTGGTAAGTTTCCTGAGCTTATGAAATGTCCATCTTGTGCTTTGATACTCGCATTTGTTGGCACACAGTGACTTTCCCTTTTCGGTACCAACCCGGAAGGATGACGTCTGAGACTCTTGGAGTGGCATATCAAGCAACACAAACTTTGCATCGCGTATTTAGCCAGAAACGACAGCTAATGTATGCATAGTTGATCTCTGAAGCCACGGAAGCCTTCAGTCAAGCAACATGAGCAACCAGCAGAACAACCCCCAGTCGCCCCGCCACTGGCACGGCAGCCTGGGCGATCGCTATGAGCACCACAACGTATGGGTGACAGGCGGCCCTCCCCAGCCCTACATGGCTCGACGGCCTTCTGGTGCCGAAGCAGCAAGTGCAAGTGCCACAGCTGAAAGACGTGTATGCCTGTTCAGGCTTTCATCAAACTCTCACACATACGTATTGTTTTGACACTTAGGCTGACTGTCCTTAAACAATCCAGGAATCTGTCTCGTCTAGCATGTCTTCAGGCTCGAACAGCCCCCCAACAGCTCCAAACAGGAGACGTTCTAGTCAGGGTTCGTCCCTATTTGAAAGTCTGACGAACCAAAAGCGGAACTCCACGGATCCTGCTTCGGCCGCACGCCGCGCGAGTTACAATGACCAGGCGCAGCAGGGCGGTTTCTTCTCGAAATGGTGGGAGGGGTATACTCGTGGTGGTTCCAAATAAGCCATTATTGAGTTCGTGCTGTGAAGGATGGCAGAATGATATACTGGATCGGAATTTATTATGTTGAATGCTTATATGACTGTACGCCGAAGAGTTTCGCGCTTGATATTGTATGTATTCGTTCGTATACAACCATATTGTGTTAATGAAAGTGGACATATATAGGGAGATGCTCCATAGTCATGGCCGTAAGTTTGTTTAACACGTCTTGGCTTTGATTGGGTGTAGAGATTGGGGCGGTTGAGTTTGGCTGTATTATGCCACAGGTCCAGTAGCTAGTGCGTATGAAACACAGCCCGAGATTATACTTGCAGACCCGGCAATCTAAGAAAGGACCACCCCAGTGTAAACACTAGTGATCACATATGCTTAACGGCGCTTCGAAATGGGCCCACAATCTACGATATGATCTTGATCATGACCCACATAGTTGTTATCTTTCTTGACTACAAGGCGAGCTTACAATGGAAAGTACATTACGGCATTCTCCAGGTGAGCATGGAGCCGGGCTGATCTCCGTACCATCCATGTTGGCCTAAGAGCGAGGAATACACTGCCAACAGGGGACAGGTAGAAGGACATGTTCTTGGACTCTGGAAGAGTTCCAACGGCCAAATAGCCACCAGTATCACACAGAGTGCGATATGGCAAGCATCATGCAATTCTTTTCATCAATGGTTATGCGGATACATCACCCTGTGTGAAGCCTTCATTGTGAAAAGTGGATGCGTTTTTTGAACTTGAGTATTTGGATTCCTAACACGCCTATCCTCATGCCGTGGTAGAAACAAGTATTTCAAAGCAGAACGGCATATTTTCTGCCCTTTTTTATTGATTCATCATAAACGCAACCCCCTGGCTCCCCCAAAGACCAGAAATGAAACATTTACCGGACGATTCCGTCGAAGCGGTTCTTGAACCACTTGATGGTCTCGGTCTGGTTGATACGGTGAGGAGCACCGATACGGGCCTTGCAGCGGCGACGCTTAGCGACACGCTCACCAGGGCGGGTCCTGATTCTTATGTGAGTTTTTGACCTTTGTCGACCGTTCCTGGTTATACTCACATGCAGCAGTAGAAGTCCATGCCGTAGATACCAATGCCAGGGTCGTACTTGATACCAAGATCGATGTGCTCGTTGATACCGAAGCCGAAGTTGCCGGTCTCGGAGAAGTTCCTCTTGCGGAGCTCGTACTCCTTGACCTTAAGACCACGCTCAAGGATCTCCTCGGCCTTGGGGCCACGGACGGTGACGTGGACGGCGATCTTTTCGTTACGACGGATACCGAAGGTACGGACAGTGTAGCGGGCCTTGCCTATGGATCACGGAAAATTCTCCCATCAGCCATTCCATTCCGTAATATTTCGTAGTGTTTTCCATATCCTCCATTATAAAATCAAAATATTCGGATCGAGGGCGTCCTTACTGTAGACAGGAGTCTGACCGCTCAGCTGCTCGAGCACCTTAGCAGCACGGGTAAGTCTGTCACCAGACTCTCCGACACTGATGTTAAGCACGAGCTTCTGGATGCGCAGCTCGCGCATGGGGTTCGCGCTCTTGTCCTTTCCGTCCGACTGCATGGCGATAAAATGTTAGAAAAAATCTCAGGCGATTAGAGTGGTTGAGTTGGTGAGATGGAACATACCATGGCGACTACTTTGGCGTGTATGGTCGACTCGTGTGATTAGAAGATTCGAAAAGAAGATCGAAAAGTGAGTAAAAGGGAATGTGCGGGCAGAGTGGGAAGCGAGAAGCCCTTAGCGTCTTGGCACCGTCGGCTGGCGCTAAAGTGCAGAGCCGCGTCTAAGTCACGACACCCGCAGAGCTTCAGGAAGTTTGAGCGGGTGAGCTCGTGCCAGCAAGTCCTCAACCTTCTTGACGGGCGCGCAAGCTCAAAGTGAACGTTTAGTAGGAGATTTCTTCTACTACTTCACGCATATTCTTTGGTTTATATCAAGCCGCATTCGTGCGCATCTTTTAGGCAAAATGGCTGCCAACAAGCAGGGCAAGATGGTAAGTTTGATTTGATTGATCTTTTGTCGCGGTCCAGACCTTCTCCTAAAGTACTTAATGAATAGTATTGGCTGACTTGGTCAATTCTATAGCAAAACCTCGTAAGTGACAATGCGCTCGTTTAACCACCCGCCCGCGGAATCCTAATGTGCTGCAGATCAACTATCGGATGAGAGTTACCCTTAACGATGGCCGACAGATGACCGGACAAATGCTCGCATTGATAAGGTACATTGACTCTCAATCATTGCTTGTCTTGATTGAAACTTTCATTAACAATGATATTTCAGCACATGAACCTCGTCCTCGCCGATACAGAAGAATTCCGCCGCGTCAAGCGGAAGTCCAAGCCAGCTGCTGGACCGGCTAACGCTCCCCTCGTGGAATCGGAAGAGAAGCGAACCCTCGGTCTTACGATTGTGCGCGGTACCCACGTCGTCTCTTGCTCTGTTGATGGACCACCCCCCGCAGACCCCTCTGCACGACTTGGAACAAGCGTCCCAGGCGCAGCTGCTGCCGCTGCAACTCTCGCCGCCGGTCCTGGAATCAGCAAACCCGCTGGACGTGGTCTACCTGTTGGACTCGGAGGCCCTGCTGCCGGTGTTGGAGGACCCCCGCCTCCTCCTGGCGGCTTCCCTGGTTTCCCCCCTGGTGGTTTCCCAGGAGCGCCGCCACCGGGATTCGCTGGCCGTGGAGCGCCTCCGGGAGGACCTCGTAAGTTTCATTGGCGCTGAGATATGCTTGGAAGGGGACAGATTACTGACTTTCAACTAGCTGGTTTCGCTCCTCCCCCAGGATTTGCTCCCCAGGGTGGACCTCGTAAGTGACTGATTTGGGTTCATACGTCATACGTCATAGGCTAACTGGTATTGTTCAGCGGCCGGGTTCCAACCTCCTCCAGGATTTCAGCCTCCGGGCCAGGGACGTGGATTCCCTCCACCAGGATTTGGGGGACGGTGAAGCTCGTATGTCGAGCGGCAAAACCGCTTACAATATTCCGACCCCAAGTGAAACCTGGCGGCCTACTAGTGTTGGGATAAGAAATACGCATCCTATTCATATACATGTTCGATGATTAGGCATAGCACACCGAGTTTTACCAGGCAAAGGCGTTGCGGCGTGTGCGGATGCAGGGAATGCCCGAGTGATAGCAAAGGTCGACCTGAGAAAAAAAAGTCGAGGACCAACAGAAGTAATGCTACATAGGTTTAAACGCTTAGTACTTATTCCCCCTGCGAATCATACACTGTCATTTCCACGATTTTCTTGTTCGTCCAATCGTAGGGCCATGCTCCGTAATCGAACTGATATTGGCGACCCCGGCAATTGACTCACGTGATGTAGTCCGGGCAACTCCGCCCGGCAATCATTCCGCAGTCGGTGACGCCGGGCAACTTCAGTAACTGTCTTCCTGTTTCTGATCACTCTCCGCTCCCTTCCCTACCCCAATCGCCCGTCAAGATGGCCGCTGCAATCAAGGCGATCAACGCAAAGATCCGTTCCAACAAGGTTCTGGACTATGTCTGCTCTACACGTAAGTGCAATCCCAAACCGTGCCATGCTTCTCTTCTCGCCCGAGATCGGCCTGTCTCAAGTCTTGCATCCGTAATACAGACAGGGAAAGTGATCCATGGGCTCCTGCTATGGTTGCCCTTGGTCCTTATCATGGCGTCACTGGATTCATTCCGAGGCGAAGAACAATGACTAATTGAGCCTGTCTTACCAGATTTCTGGGGCCCTGTCTCCAACTTCGGTATCCCCGTTGCTGCCGTGATGGACACCCAGAAGGACCCTGAAATGTACGCGCGACCACTTTTCCATCCCTTTATTCCTCCCGGCGCAGTTCCTTCACCCTCATGACACAGATATATGACAAGAGAAAGCCAACTAACCCAACAAACAGCATCTCCGGCCAGATGACCGGCGCCCTTGTCATCTACTCGGCAACCTTCATGCGCTACGCCCTCGCCGTCTCCCCTAAGAACTACCTCCTCTTCGCCTGTCACGCCATTAACTTCTCCGCCCAATGTACTCAAGGATACCGCTACCTCAACTACTGGAAGTATGTTGCCCTCGATAATTAGAGCCTGTTACGCAAGGGGTTAGAAGAAGCTAACCTAATGTAATAGCTGGGGAGGCCGTGAAGCTAAGCTCGCTGCTGAAGCCGCTCTGCAGGGCTCACAGGCCCCCGAGGCTGGCGCATAAATGATCCGAACCTTGTCTTTACCTGCCGTGTGGCCGAGAACAAAGGATGCCCGTTTTCAATCAGTAGTAGATTTAGACCTCACAAGAGACAAGTGGCCAATGGATGGCGATTTGTGGAATACAGATCGGATCGGACGCAAGAGGCTGGCCTCATTTAACACTGGTTTTCTTTGGGTAGAAGAACGGATTGCGTGCGGCTTGAGCCGACTAGTAGGTAGTCGGCCTTCACCTGGTTATTTTTATGGACTAGCATTGGCTAAAGGGCCTTGAGGCTTCTGGTCTTGTTTCTATCAGATTTTCATGGCATTGGGCTGTGGTATAGTGCAGCTTGCATGGCGAGGGTTCAGGGTGTCTTTTGGCCTCTGCTGTCTTTACTGTTTTGTATATAACAATTTCAGGTGAAATCTAAATGGATTCAAGGGAAACAATCATGGTGTTTCTTTCGTATAATTCTTATCTGTGCGGTATTCTTGAAACAATTTGGTACATAGCAATGGCAAGCAGGATGGGTATTCACAGTGTACACCAATTTAATCACGGAGAATTCCATCTGGGATGTTAGATAGAAGGGAAAGCTAGGACAAAATGTCAAAATAGTGTCCCGAAATTCAGTCTTGCTATTCAAACAGAGCAAGTTTTATAACATAGCGTCAATCATTCATGTTCAGGAGGACGCCTACTTTGAGGCGACCAAACGTTATAGACGTTGAAAGCGACTGGAGAATCTGCTAACCAGACTTCGAGTCACAGTATCCAGGGGACTGAGGAGCTCCTCCTCCGACCCAGTTTGCTAGAGTCAGTGAAGTCGTATAGATGCAACTAACTACGCCGAAGATAGTAAGGGCAATGTCAGCGATCTGCTGTTTTCTTGAATGCGCACAGGCTCTCAAATGCAACAGAGGCTACAATCGACTAGGTTAGCGTTATATGTCACCATTAAGCAAGGTGGATTTGGGGGCAAATACCGGGTATACGTAAATAAGTGGAACGCAGGCAAAGCTACCGACAAGTGAGACGAATTTGTCAAGATCGTCTGCTCCACCCCACCCAACAAAAGCACAAATCATGACAAGAAAGAAGCGGAAACAGTTCTTCTGCCATTTGATTCTGGGGTTATACTTGCCGCTGCGTGTGAAGAGCTCATTTTCCATGATTCGGATAGCTGGGAAGAGCTGCAGAGGTGTGCTCAGCAGAATCGCAAGCGAATAAAGGAATTGGACACCATTCACAAACTTGTCGTCTTGAGGAAGGTTGAGAATAACCACAGTTTTCGTTGCAGATCCGTACGCAGCATAGCTCAGCGCACCAGCAGAGAGGAAAATAATAGTGATAATAACCATTACACCAGCGAGAACGCCAGGGAATTGCTGTGGACGCTTCATCGACTCTTGGATTGGGATGATGAGACCAATACCCTCGTAAGTGAAAATAGCCGTCCCGATGAAAAGCGTCCACGTAGATGGATTGAAGGATATGATATCCGAAACACCGCCTTGTGCAGAGATAGTTAGGATATCATAGTAGTAAAGATAGATCAGACCAAGCAGGATGAAAACATCTGCAATTAGAGCCGTAAACCCAAGCTTGCTGATATCGCGGATCAATGAAAGAGGTAGGAAGATGACCAGCTGTATCAAGACCATGAACTTGATGTCAATGAAGGATTTGCATTTGCTGACTGCAAGGACGAATGCCTGCAAATTCTCAGCAGTGAACACAATATATGCAGACACAAATCCCAATTGACTCAGGACTATAGATCCAAGGATAATGCGTCGCATATGCTTTCCATAAAGGATGCCGCCAATATCACCAAACGAGCCATCAATTTTCAGTCGGGTGTTGACAAGAAGTATGAAAGCATAGAAGCTGAGAAGCGACACACCAAGTAAGACCAGACTACTAAATAGCATACCGCCGTTGAGAAAAGCTCTTGGAAGGAACAAGACCCCTGTACCGACGAAAGACTTGAGCAGAAGTAGAGCTGCTCCAGTTCTAGTGTTGGTTCCAGTACCTCCACGCGGCTTCCGTTTTCTTCTTCCAGGAGTCTCAGGACGAAGGAGGGCTGATCTTTCTCCCGGCTCTCTGCCATCCTCTTCCCAAGCGTCAGAGAAGTACTCATCGGGTCCCAGCACTTCGTCATCTTCTTCTAGCTCCTCTCCTGCAAAGTGGCCGAAAAGAGTCAAAAATTCTAAGAAGCTGCTGGTTGGAAGCTGGTGTTGAGGCAGAGGAGGCTGTGGTCCGGGGCCATCAGAGCTTCCTGGAAGGTTTGAGGCTACAGTTCTCCGGATATAGTCTCTGCGGAATCCTCCTGGTATGCGAATGCTGTTGATGTTCATCGTCTCATCTTGTGGCGTGGGTCGATTTATGCTGAAGCTTTTACTCCGATTGAATCTCGAAGGACTTCCTGCTTCTGCACCTTCTGCCCACCTGTAAACCTGCCTTGTAATGTCACCTCCTTGAAGCTGCAAGCTGGAGAATTCCTCGTCATTTGTAACATCCCCAGAAGCAGCATCATCTCGACTCTCAACAGTATTTTGCGGTAGTACCAAGTGTCGTTTGACGACTTCCGGGTCTTCATACGGCCCTGCTGAGTATTCTGAGCCTTCCCACCCGGTCTTATTGTCAAATGAACCATAGTTGGACCTGATTGGCTGAGCCTGCTGCAAGGCAGGGGAATCAGTGCGTCTTGGCGGAGTTCCATGCCTCGGAGGTGAGCGACCGAGGCTTTCTTGGAGGGCAGATGCGATCATAGATTGCCCAGGACCTGGTAGAGACGCTAAATTATCCACTTTCCGGATATCCTCGCCTGTGCTTGTCGCTGGTTGGATCGGTACCGGCAGTTGTCTGGTTGCATGGGGATATGAGCTAGCTGGAGAAGGTACTGGGGATGCTAGCCGTGCAATTGAGATTTGCCTCGAAGAAGCTTCCGCTGAGGGAGAGCCAGGGCGCAATGCGCTCGTCGAGAGCGGTGTTGACTGAGGAGGTTGAGATGAGGAACCTTCCCCATTGTCTGCATGTGTGGGTGAAGCCATGACTTGATATTGGATTATGAAGTAACACAGGAGAGCTTAAAGTTTCCTTAGTTTGAAAATAACGCTTTGCTATATTGACGCCCTCTACCTAGCGTTGCTAGACGCGAAGGGTTATAGCGAGCCGTATGTACGGAGTACTTGTAGGATAATCTTAAGGAAGAGCTGGTTTACAGTAGACCAGGACAGAGTAGAAACAATCTACTGTATGTTGTGTTCTCTTCATAAGCAAGCGAAGAGAAAAAAAAAGGAAAGGAAAAAAAAATATTTGGAAATCACTATTCGCCCAGCCACCCAACAACACAAACAAATTGAGAGACGAAGGAAGCTTCAGCTTTCCCTGGAGTCGATGACAATGGGAGTCACTGGACCGGACCGGCGGTGGAGTTTGCACTGTTTGTCTGACTCGGCCGATGAGATCATCTCCAGCCATGGACCCATGTCTTTCATGGCATTTACTAGTGGCAACCACTGCCACATAACGCCTCCTAGATCTACTAGGTACGGAGTACTATATGAGGTATCGTGTTTTCTCCTTTGCTTTTTCCTGAAGCGCAGACTTTTCTTACAGTGGTGTGTTTGCTTTTTTTTCTCCTACGGTTAACTCTACTAGGTTGTGCGTTCTGTCAGTCCTTATCGATACGATACTTCACTGTTTACTGTAGTGAGAATCTGTCCCCACTTGCATTATTGTATGAAAAAAGCACTGAATATCCTCTTGCAATAAGAAGTTGGACGTATCCGATGACGCACAGCCGAGACGAGCGTACCTCGGACTCGATGTCTCGGAGAAGGCCCAACTTCTCAACACGAACTGCTCAAGAGGATGTCTCTAGACTGGCTCCAAGCGATTCCCCCATTGCATCTCCCGAGGAGAACAGCAGGTTTCCCAATTGGAGAAATGCGCTTTCACTTCGCCCGTACGAGCCATTGAACTCCTCTTCTCATACAACAGAGCGTCAGCGCCACTCGTTGCCCTCGAATTTCTTTGGTAGCATATCCCGCTGGTGGGACAAACCCGACAATGATGAACTGCAAGGTACTTCGAACAGAGCACACCTACCCATTGACCTTCCTACGGGGCCACTCCGAGATTCTAGTGTGGACCAAAAGGAACGAAATGGCCAAAAGAATCGCGCTTCTGATAGTGCTTCAAAACTCGGAACTTTCTCGGGAGTTTTTGTGCCGACCACCTTGAATGTCCTAAGCATTCTGATGTTCCTTCGCTTCGGATTTATCCTTGGGCAAGCTGGCCTGCTAGGGATGCTAGGTAATTTGAATTACTCTACCTGTGTAGCCTCCAATGGTGACTAACCGTGGTCTGAAGGCTTGCTCGCTGTTTCATACACTATCAATTTGGTGACCACCATGTCTCTTTCTGCCATCGCGACTAACGGAACTGTCAAAGGAGGGGGTGCCTACTATTTAATCTCTCGATCGCTGGGTCCAGAGTTTGGCGGTTCCATTGGTATAGTGTTCTACTTGGGCTATGTGTTGAATACTGGTATGAACGCAGTTGGTCTTGTTGACTGTTTCACGCAAAACTTCGGAACAGAGTCTGGCACTTTATCCAATTTTCTTGAAGAAGGTTTCTGGTGGCAGTATCTCTGGGGCACCATCATTCTTCTTACCTGCACTGGGATCTGCCTAGCTGGGAGTTCCATTTTTTCTAGAGCAAGCAACGGTCTACTTGTCATTCTGTTGGTTGCGACCTTCAGCATACCGGCATCCGCGATCTTTATGAAGCCATTTAGTATTCCCAATCTCCATGTGACATTCACTGGAGTGCGCCTTCAGACACTGCTGGAGAATCTTAAACCCAGGCTCACCAAGGGCGCTGCTGGCAGCCAGATCCACGGAAAGGAAACCTTCCAGGACCTCTTTGGAATATTGTTTCCTGCTACTGGCGGTATATTCGCGTAAGTGGATTATCGGTTTATGATGGACGTAGACTCATGAAGTGATAGTGGTGCCAGCATGTCGGGGGACCTAAGGAACCCCAGTCATTCGATCCCAAAGGGTACACTTTCGGGGTTGGCTCTGACATTTGTCACCTATACACTTGTAATAGTTGCGATGGCGTCATCTATAACAAGGGAGTCGCTGTATAAGAATAGCGATATCATCCAAATGGTAAGTTTAGATGCAAACTTGGTTGTGAACTTTGACTAAGACGCATCAGACAAATGCTTCGGGAATTCTTATTCTTCTAGGAGAGTTCGCGACATCTTTCTTCTCAGCACTGATGGGTGTAATCGGCTCTGCGAAGCTTTTACAAGCAATTGCACGAGACGATTTGGTCCCTGGCCTGAAAATTTTCAGCAAGGGCACCAAAGAAAACGATGAACCGGTCCACGCAATCATTGTAACCTTTGTTGTTGCGCAATTGACGATGCTTTTTGACATTAATCAGATAGCATCCTTTGTCACGATGACATATCTCATGACATTCCTGGTGATGAATCTCGCATGTTTTCTTCTAAAGATTGGATCCGCTCCTAATTTCCGGCCGTCCTTTCACTATTTCAAGTGGCAGACCGCTGCAGCAGGGGCGTTGGTTTGTGGAGCTTCCATGTTCTTTGTGGATGGTGTCTATGCCACAGGTTGTGTCGGTATCTTAATCCTACTCTTTTTGCTGATCCATTATATTTCCCCTCCCAAGCCGTGGGGCGATGTGAGTCAAAGCCTGATATATCATCAAGTGCGCAAATATCTACTTCGCCTTCGGCAAGAACATGTTAAATTCTGGAGGCCCCAAATTCTACTGTTTGTGACCAATCTTGATGAACAATACAAGATGGTCTCCTTTTGCAACTCATTGAAGAAAGGCGCCTTATTCGTACTGGGCCATGTTATTGTGACTGATGATTTCTCATCTGCGGTGCCCGAAGCTCGCCGCCAGCAAACTACCTGGACCAAGTTTGTTGAGAATTCAAAAGTGAAAGCTTTTGTCAATATTGCAGTTTCTCCCTCTGCAGAATGGGGTATCCGTAACATCGTGTTAAACTCTGGTCTTGGAGGAATGCGGCCAAATATAGTTGTCATTGACCAATTTCGCAATGGCCAGTCATTAGTTGAGACACTGCAACCCAGAAAAGACTCGAATGACAGACATGACGTGGCTCCTGAGTCTGCAGTGGATGATGTACCTCGGCCACAAATGAGCTGCGCAAACTACGTCACAATATTAGAAGATCTGCTCTTCAAGCTCCGCATCAATGTTGCTGTGGCAAAAGGCTTTGAAAACCTTGAGCTGCCTACGTCTGGACAGCACCAGAAAAAGTACATCGATCTCTGGCCTATTCAAATGTCTGCAGAACTTGGGGCAGACAGCGAAAGCAAGAAGAATGTTCTTACCACTAACTTTGATACATATACCCTTATCCTCCAGCTGGGGTGTATTCTGAACACCGTGCCATCCTGGAAGAAGACGTACAAATTACGGGTAGCCGTGTTCGTCGAGTACGAAACGGACGTGGATGATGAGCGAGGACGGGTCCAAGCGCTCCTTGAAAAGCTGAGAATCGAGGCGGAAGTTCTGGTCTTCTGGCTTGCTTGTGGCGACGTAAAAAGTTATCGCATTATTGTAAATGGTGACAGGTCGCCAGAGGTTAGAGATACGCAGGACAAGGTGCAAACAGCTTTGAAAGATGAAGGCTGGTGGCAGGACATTGAAAGGTTTCGTAGGAGATCCCACAACCAACCCAACGCGGACGACTTTGGAGCCGAGTTGGGAAGGGTTTCCAGTTGGCATGCTGCTTCTAGCCATGACACTTTACAAAAGGCTCCAGCCCAGTTGGCTGGTGGGATAAAGAAGCTCATGGAATCAACGAGGCGTCGTCGGCGTTCTATTTCCAGCTTCAAAGGGCTTGGCGGTGTGAATCTGGGCATGCAAACGCATCGCTTACTAGATAGCTTCGTTGATTACGACTCAAGCGACAGCTCTTCAAGTGACAGCGAGTTTGAGCCCTTTGTCGATGAGAGAGTGGATGGCACAGACAACAAGGATCCTGCATCCGCAGATACTGCGAGACACGATGTTCCATCTATAGTTGCCCCTGATGCCTCCCCTAAGAGCCGAGCGAGCGAAGCCCGACCACCTATCAGCCGTTCGGCGTCCAGCAATCGATTCAGTTCGTCGCCAATTCCTGAAGCTCAAGTCAACACTGATGAAGGTGCGGGACCCTCGATCATGTTCGCACCGAGCTCACCCCCTCCGCGGGCTTCGAACCGGCGTGAATCTATTTATACGCGCCGATCATCATCGGTAGGGTCTGGTACTGCGTCCGGATACCCCCGGCGGGCGTCTGTGCCGTTGTCCTTTAATGATCTTCCTAGCCGAGCGCAACACCTGATTTTGAATGAGTTGATGGCAGAGCATAGCAGTGAAACTGCCGTCATCTTTACAACGCTGCCGTCTCCCATGGAAGGCACCGCACAAGGTGAAGCAACGAGTGAATCTTATCTGAGTGACCTGGAAGTCTTATGGCAGGGGTTGCCACCATGTTTGCTAGTACATAGCAACAGTATGACGGTGACAATGAACCTGTAAAGATGCTCTGACGGCGATAGATCTCGCGTACTCTGAGCTGTACAGATATATGATACACCAGTATATATTGACAAGCATGGAATTTACATTGTTATGATGGCACTCGAACATGAAAAGGGCTGGCATTGGAGATTGTAAAGATACGCTCGTCTGTGTGGTTACAGCCTTGTAAATGTAGGCTCCACTCTTGACTTCCCTGACCTTGGGTTCAGGCTCTAGAGAATACAATGTTCACGTATATATTTTCATTCAATCCTTTTCGCTGTACTACTTAGAGGGTTGAGTTAGCTTAAACTACAAGTAGAATATATCTCGGAAGCCTCCTTTTCTTTCTTCAATTTCCAGCATATCGAGACTCAGAGATACACATAAAGTGATCCGAGTTCATGAGACCCAATGGCGATGACTAGACTTGAACCTCCCACCTGCGAACTGATGCATCTTTTCTAGGGATATCAGGCCTCAGAGGTTGTTGTCCTACACAGTCTTGGCTCGTGCGCCTTACCGCTTGTAAACTGTGAGTGGGTCAGAGAAAGACAAGGCCTTTTTATCGTCTTAACAATGATATAGATGTTAATAAATTCTTGAAAATTGGAATAAGCGAATCACAACTGATTTTCCTGTAAGACTTTTAGAGAGATACTACCTGATTGCTGCCTCGTAAAATCCCGCGCCAATCTCTGACAGGATGTCATAAGAGGCCACATAATTTCCGTCAGCCATCAATCCTGAAGACCCACTAAAAATAGCTACGGCAACGCTGGGCCGGAAGCTTGAGATCGATCTCGGATTCTAGACACTTTCTATGCACAAGCACGCGGGGACCCTACTTCCATGAATGGCATTGTACTATATCGTATGGGATCTCAACGGACGTGATCCTGGTCCATTGAGCAGGGTGTATGCTGTAAATTGTAATACGGATATCCCCGGCTCATTGTGACACAGAACGAGAACTAGAACCAGAACTCGAGGCCCATTAGGTCTCTTGCTCCCAAAGCGAGAATTTTAGATGGATCCCGGTTTGGTAATGACTGACAATTGGCTGAGATATGATTGGTACAGGAAGTGGACGAGGGCCTTTTAAGGGGAGAAAAGAAGGGGCACTGGAATCCTCCAAAGGGGAAAAAAGTGGACGGGGGGTTGAAATGAGCCCCATTGGGTTGACCCGCAGCGTACGACGGGCCTCAGGCAGTGTACGCCGTCGTGACTTTCACACACTGGGATCAGCTGGTCGATTGCTTTGTTTTCTTTTCTCCGTCTTGCTACACGTTTGCTGCCTCGCATCGTCATGCGCTTGGATTTCCTGCATGAATAAGGACCCTCTCTCGGCTGAAGATTCCAATTAGTCCTCATCATCCCTGTTCAACTGCTTTCCTTTCCCCCTGACGCGCTCGGAGGCCGTAATGCAGAACGGCCGTGGACGCCGAAAGAACGGCAGTATTAAAGCCCCTAAGAATCGTCAGCGTCCTACTATGTCACATTTAGTCTCGGAACAGTCCATTCCCATTCGCTCAAAATCTTCGGTCGCCAGCGACGATAGCGTAGACACCTCCGACGACACCTCAACCGCTCCCTCCTTCAGCAGTAGCCCACCGAGCACAAAGTCTGTCACCAACGGTGTTCACCGACCAGCTATGGCTCGAAAGGCTTCTTCGCCAATGGCGCCCGCCTTCATGGTCTCCGCGCCGGGTAAGGTCATTGTCTTTGGTGAGCATGCCGTCGTGCACGGTAAAGCTGCCATGCCGCGGCCATCTCCCTCCGATCCTACCTCCTGGTCACAACCCTGACCAAATCGCAACGCACCATCACCTTGAACTTCAGAGATATTGGCTTGAATCACACTTGGAGCATCGACGAGCTGCCATGGGACCTGTTTCACCAACCAACGAAGAAGAAGTACTATTACGACCTGGTCACCTCAATTGACCCCGAACTTCTCGACGCGATCTTGCCTCTCGTGGAGCGCATCTCCCCAGACCTACCCGAAGACAAGCGGAAACACCAGCGTGGCGCGGCGACTGCGTTCCTCTATCTCTTCTGTGCGTTGGGCTCTCCCCAGCACCCGGGAGCGATCTATACCCTTCGGTCGACGATCCCAACTGGCGCGGGCTTGGGCAGCAGTGCTAGTATATGTGTCTGTATCAGTGCTGCACTCCTTCTTCAGATTCGCACTCTAGCTGGACCGCACCCCGATCAACCCCCCGACGAGGCGGAGGTGCAGATCGAGCGCATCAACCGATGGGCATTCGTTGGCGAGATGTGCATTCATGGCAATCCCAGCGGGGTGGATAACACGGTCGCCGCAGGCGGCAAGGCCGTGATTTTCAGAAGAGGCGATTATTCCAAACCACCGGCCGTCAGCTCGCTCCCCAATTTCCCCGAGCTGCCGCTACTGCTCGTGGACACTCGACAATCCCGCTCCACGGCGGTTGAAGTAGCAAAGGTCGGCCAATTGAAAGAAGAACAACCGCTAGTGACGGAGGCGATTCTCGATACCATTGAGAAGGTGAACGCTTCCGCTCAGGAACTCATCCGGGAAACAGATTCGTCAGCCATTTCCAAGGATACGCTCGAGCGCATCGGAGCGCTTATCCGCATCAACCATGGCTTGTTGGTCTCGCTAGGAGTCTCTCACCCTCGACTCGAGCGAATTCGTGAGCTTGTGGATTTTGCGAACATTGGTTGGACGAAACTCACCGGTGCTGGTGGCGGAGGATGCGCGATCACCCTCCTGCGTCCGGATGCTGACCCGAGTGCTATCCGCCAATTGGAGGAAAAGCTGGACGAAGAAGGATTCGCGAAGTACGAAACCACTCTGGGCGGAGATGGTGTCGGTGTCCTGTGGCCCGCCGTGGTCCGCAATGGAACCGATGAAGAAGGTGGCGAGGAGATCGACCAGCAGAAGTTCGAAAATGCAGATGGCCCTGAAGGTATCGAGCGTCTCGTCGGTGTAGGCACTCAGGAAAAGAGAGAGGGCTGGAAGTTTTGGAAACGAGCAATGCATTAATGTGACGCCTTCCATCCCACTTTGAAGGCATTCATCCTTACATTCAACTTACGCCAACTGCGTCAATGGGACTCAGTTATTCTTCCTTCTCTCTCTTTTTAATTCAGCATTTCTTTTCTGACAGGAACTGGACTTGACATGATATGCATTTAATCACCCATTTCGCATGTTTCTCGAGTCTCATTTCTATTCGCTATATTCGATTCTCTGTATAATCTTTACTCTCATGTGTTTATTGTTTTGGCTGCCACCTCTCGATACCTCTGCATTGTTCTCCCTCCACTTCGTATCGAACCCTCTATATAACTCATTTTTTTTGCTTTTACTTTTCGGCCATTTTGTTTGGGATCGAACCTAGGAGGGTTCATATTGACGACTGATGTGACTTGATCCATTCTGTGGGTGTTGCGGCGATAGGCATTGAATGAATAACAAAGCATCAGTTGAATGATTGAAACATGTCTACAGGAGGGCGTATGAAATATTATCCAATTTTGTTATTGTAACTATACACGCTTAATTACGAAGCAGGGTATCATGTATCCAATCGATCGCAGTGCCAGGTCCATACCCACCAATTAGCCCATTGTCGTCTCCCAACCTTTCTCGATCATCACATCCATCCAGTACACATTGGACTCCCCCGCGTCCATCCTTTTCCAGACTTCCCTCACGAGTTGCAAGCAGACATCGATCGGTTTCGGGGGGAGCACATGCAGAAACGACGTAAGTCGGCCGAGGACGAACTGGCGCGTACGAGATACTTCAATGGCATGCGAGGAGATATTAGGACTGCTGTTGTCGAGGGAAACTTCTGAGCGGGGGAGGCGGAGCTCGCTGCTGGAGGCGACGAGCAAGAACGGCTGGAGACATCGGGTGCGAGATTCAATGGGGATGGTCTTTAGACGGGAGAGAGTGGTCAGAGCGAACTCCGTCAGCCAGCTGTCGTAGTAGGTGCCTGGGAGAGTCTCCGGGTCGTTTGGCGGGTTGCTTTCGGGGCGCAGATACATAGGCTCGAACCAGGCTGAGTTGAGCAGGTCTGGGGCCGTGTCTACGGAGAGGAATGGATCGCGAGGGGTTGCACTGGGTTGCTGATTGTAGGATTGGGAAGAAGGGTGCTGCGAGCTTAGTCGACGGCGAAGGAGGTCCGGGAAGACGCGATACAGTTGCATGAGGCCTGTACAGCGGTACACTTCCGCCATGGTTAATAGGTGCCACACCGGCGTCTCGTCATCTCCGGGGCTAACTATTTCGGCTTCAGCCGGATGTGCCAGTTCGAGCAGTCGTTCTTCTAGCTCTCGCGCTTTCTCAATGGCCTTCTGGGCCTGGGCGATATCGGCCTGTGAGGTAAATGCTCTGGCACGGATGCGCTTTCTCTCGCAACGCACGACTCTTCCTACTTCCTGAACAGTAGACTGGGTATCGCGGGCGATGCCGGTCCATGGATGTGGTATCCGCTGCAAGACCAGCGGTCCGCCTGGGTCTGCAGCTGTATTGCCGGACAGGACTGCTGTGTCATCTGCAACAAACGACAGCAGCATTTCCCAGTATACCAGAGCCTCCTGGAAGAACTGATGGTTATTGCCACGCTCTGAGTTGGCGATCTCTAAGGGCCTGGTCTCCAGGTGATTCCGAAGTAGATTGAAGAATGAGATCCCTAGATCTTTGGAATCATGCCAGCTGGCCGTCTGGCCGAGCATGAGTAAAGCTAATACTGACTTATCATCTAAGACAGTCTCTTTGGCAATGATATCGACAGCCTCATTACGTAGCTTACGTCCCAATGGGCCAAACTGGGGGAAATCATTCACCAGCGTGGCCGCTGCCATACTCTGCATGGTCTTACACATGGCCAACGAGGAGCCCCAAAGACGGGACACAGTCGACCGAAACGGGTTCATCTGACTGTCATAGCTGGAGAATAAAGCGGCTACCTCTTTAAAATAGTACTCAATGAGGGTCCAGGACGGATTATTCAAGGGTTGTGGGATTGACGTAAGGTCGCGCTGGGGTGGCTGTGGGTTTGATGGAGGGTATTTCCGTACGATGGCCGATGGAGAGAAGCCGAAAAAGTTGGGCAGCTCATGGTGAGATTCAGGCGCTCTCGAAGCAAACAAGTTCAATGGGTTTCCCGGTTCATTTGGGGTATCAAGATCAAATATCGAGCTCGCTCGCTCGTGTCCACCCACCGAGGCTGATGCTGAAGATGGGGACGGCCCCAAATCTGCTAATTCTGGGAGTGAACCCGGTTCTGGGAGACCCCATAGACTATCATTCAATGCATTGCTTTCGTCTAATCCCAATCCCCTTGGCTCCGGATTCTCGTGTGTGGTTGTCTGACTCGCATCGCCCTTGACCAATGGGGACTCCACTACGGTCTCGGGGAATTGCGATGGTCGGGGGGAGGCGGTCGACGGCCCCGGGGCTGGTGAATGGCCGGGGCCCAGCGGTGACCTATTCAGTTGAGCATTGCTATCGTCTTCCTCAGTAGCGGATGGATACTTGGTCACCCAGCGCAGAGACTGGGCGTACCCGGGACATTTCACGCCCAAGCGAGTGCATCGACTGCAGTGAGGCTTCTCTTCCCCACATTTGACCTATTGGGAGCAGACAAGTACGTTAACATCTCTTCTTTGAAGGTCCCTTTTTAGCCTTCACTGTCCCATGGATGTATCGCATGAGGAGATCAGCGGATGCGGAGGAGATGTTGACTTTGAGCGCATACCCGTTTGCTTTTACACCTGGCACAGCCGTTGCGTGATTTCTTGACACGTCGCATTGTCACCCGATTCTTTCACAGCAGGTTCCGGAGCGTGCCGAAGAGAGTCTCGACATCATGATGTCGAGTTCGCGATGAATGTTTCCCGGGGAGAAATAATCCTCTTGTGCGGGGAAATTTTGGCTGTTATCAGTTTCGATACACTGGAACCAATAGGAACCGGCCCGGGTACTTTGCCTCTTTTGGGGCATTTGGAGACTCATCGTGGAAGTCATGTGTGCGTCGTGGACACCTCAGGCAGAGCGTCCTGGAGAGATTCACAGATAGACTCACGGAGGAGAGTCCATTGGAATAGTCGTGGCCTTGTAGAAAGGGTGAATGGAAGGAATCAGGGTTGCCATTTGCGTCGATGGTTCCCATTGTCCAGGCCCTATTGTTCTGGTGGATGCCTGAGGCCGGCGCAGCCCCACCATAGCTCAATCCATTCATCCATTGATTTCCCATTCGAAAGTCCATTCTCCAGGCTCCCGACAATCCTCAAGTCAGGGAAGAAAACGGTTTTAATATTATTATAATCCTGCTATCTGCACCGTTGTTCACCCAAAGAGGTGGAACATTGAGTCGATGCTGTTTGATCGGGTTGTCGCTGTATATCTTGCCTAAATCTTTCTCCAGTAACAGTCATTGGATAATATCAACGTTTCCCGGGCTCTTCACCCTACCAAAGAAAACACCTCCGATCCAGAAATGTCTGGAAAATACGCCTCAGACCCAACATGGGCCTCCATTAAGCCGATCCCGCTCAACGATGGCTCGGAAACAGGGACCCTTCCTCTGGCGACTATTGCCTACTCAGATGAATACCTCGAGGCTACCTCGTACTTAAGAGCAGTGATGGCTGCCAATGAACTGTCCAACAGGGCCCTGAAACTCACCGACGACGTAATCGCCATGAATCCGGCTCACTACACCGTTTGGTAAGTGCAAATGAGTCCCTGTCGTACTTCTATATACATGCCGATCACTGACGACCAATGTTTAGGATTTACCGCGTTAAGAATCTTTTTGCTCTCAAAAAAGACCTCACTGAAGAGTTTGAATGGCTGAACCAAATGTCATTGAAGTACCTTAAGAACTACCAAATATGGTATGCAGTAACCCGCAGAAATCATTGGGAAGCAAGATGGTCTCTAACAATTTACCCATAGGCACCACCGACAAGTCCTGATGTCATCCAGGGAACACTTCCCGACACTCCCGCCCAAGGAGCTGGACTTCCTGATGGAGATGTTCAAGCAAGATGCCAAAAACTATCATGTCTGGACCTACCGCCACTGGCTCGTGCGGCACTTTAGACTGTGGGACGAGCCCCGAGAGATCCAGGATGTCGACCTCCTCCTGTCACAAGACGTGAGGAACAACTCCGCCTGGAATCATCGTTTCATGCTCCGCTTTGGTCCACGCAGTGACGAGCCCGACGGTGGGATGCCGAATAGCACCGCCCCCCCGCCCGAGAAGGGCAGGTTAGCCGTGGTTGACGAGGACCTTGTCGACGCGGAACTGGAGTACACCAAGGCCAAGGTCATTAAAGCCCCTGAAAATCGCAGCCCGTGGGGATATGCCCGCGGCGTGCTGCGCGCGTCCGGCCGGCCGCTCTCGGAGTGGAAGGACTTTGCGAAGAAGTTTGTCCAGGAAAAGGTCGAGGAGGGCAAGGTGGTGGATATCGAGGTCAAGAGCAGTCATGCTCTAGAATGGTTGGCGGACACATATGGCGAAGAAGGCGAACAAGCCACCGCCGAGGCAGTGCAGATGTTTACCTTACTGAAGGACAAGTATGATCCTATCCGGAAGAATTACTGGGATTATCGGATTCGTATGATTGCCCCTGCAACATGGAGCCAAGAGATCCCCACTTCGGCATGAGGCGCCGCGTAAATACCATCAACTTTTACTATGGGAATGATGTGCATGCTGAAGAAGTGTATCTGATTTTGAAACGCTAAATCATTAAATCATAGTCAATCTAAAAAAAAACGCCAATCTAAACACCATCATGACAGAGAACATTAACATAGGCAAGTAATGAAAACGCAATGGCCGGCCAATAAGCATAAAAAAAATTAAGAACCCATTACTCGTTTCCCCAGCCTTCATTAAGCAGCTTTTTATACTCCGCCGCCATATCAATCGTAATATTACTTCCACCACACACAATGATCACCACTCGGCTGTCGGCGTTCAAGCCAGGCACAAGCTGCTTGAGCTTGGATTGGATTTCACTGCCTGCGTCCGACTCCGTCTCGTTCTCGGTCGCTGAGGACCTATCATCCCCGTAGCCTTCATCCCGATGGGAAGGGTAGTCGCCGTCCTCCCTCTTCCGCTTCTTCAGTCCAGATGTGAGGGCAGCGTCGGAGGATGCCGATGACCGAGCTCTCGCCGCGTCACCGACGGCAGCCTCAACACATACGCCGCATGCAAGCTCAACAAGCGTCCGGTGATCATCAGCAAGACGCAGCACACCCCTTGCTGCATCCGCGTCCGAAAGCACAGCACTATGCACCGCAATACCCTGCGGCGGGGCGATAGCATATTGGAAAGTGCGTTCGGAGACACGGATGGCGCCCAGAGAAGTAGCCTGGGAGGTGATTTTGGGGAGGGAGACGAGTGACTTCTTCGCGACAGCGGCAGCCAGGGAATCGGTGCCGAGGGTTTCGATGGCGAGGAGGTGGATAGGGTTGGGCTGGGAGTGGGAGAGGGGGTTGGAAGCATAACTGAGGCTCATCTTCTGGAGCTGACGGTGTCGCTCGATGCCCATGACCAAGCCGTTCAGCAGGCCGCCGCCGCCCACGCTGCAGATGATGGCGTCCACGGGGAGTGGGCGGCCACGGTGGGTGGCTTCCTCGTCTCACCGGCGGGGGCAGGGAGCTGGGTGGCCAGCTCGTCAATGAGAGTACTGTTTCCTTCCCAGATGGGCTCGTTATCGAACGGGTGTAGAGCAATCTTGGCCACGTCTTCGCTCTCGTTGTCGTCCTTGTTCTTCATGATCACTTCCCGCATGTACTCGCCGGCTGCTAGGAACGTGTCTCCGTGCTGGATTACGTCCGCGGCGCCGGCCAGCCGTAGCTTCTGCACCATCAGGGGCTTCGTCGATAGGGGCACGACCACCGTGCAGGGATATCCCAGGCTGCGGGCTGCGCAGACGGCAGCAAGGCCGGCATTTCCGCCTGAGGAGGCGTAGAAGTGGACGGGTCGGTTGGCGTTTTCTGGCTTGATGAGGTGTGACAGGATCTGATTGCCCATGGCCCGGGACTTGAATGAACCGCTGGGCTGGACGTTCTCCAGCTTCAGGAATATCCTACATCCCGCGGCACGAGAAAGGGAGGCAGATTCCACCAGGGGGGTTTGCACCCATGGTGTCTTGAAGGAGGTTTGGGCTTCCTCCAAGGCGATGCTACCCATGATAGAGGATCGGTATTCGGGGTTTAGGCTAGTGTAGGTTGAGAATATGTGTTCAGGATGTCTTGAAGGATATGAGAGATAAGTTGATTGTATACAGTTGCCACAGAGGAGAGAGTTAAAGAAGTATAGGAGTATAATTGGGATGTATCACGGAACAATGGGTGGTAGCAGAAGGGGAATCAGACAAGGAATGAGAGATAAGCAAGCACAACAAAATACCAACCCTTCCATTATATTATTATACACCGTATCAAACACCAAAGTCTCTCTGATATACAAGCGGATGTCTTTCCGATACCACCATAGTAGGTTTGCCGCGGGAAAGACCCGAGTTTTCCGCCCCGATATCTATCACTCCCAGCGTCGTGGATCTGGGCCTTTTCCGCTGATAACCTTGTGGAATCGAGCAAAACCATCGATTGGCCATGACATAACATAAACCCTGCTCATGGGGTCAAGCGTGAGGAAAAGGAAACCTTGCACGCCAGCTTCATCGAGCAAAATCGGGAAAAGCTTCGCGACGTTTCCCTGACCCTTGCGTCAGTGGAGAATAGTGCCAATCAGGTCGCCAAATGGTGTTTTAATCTACTTTTATGATTGGCTTCCGTGGTTTTTCTTGTTATCAATCCGTACGTCCTTGTGACGCTTATTGCTCCACGATAAGAGGGGGGAACAAGACGGTCTTCTTAATGCCTTCCCCATATTCTGCATCGGACCCCAGTACTGCTGCCGAGAATGCCCGTTTGGAGGGACGGGTACTATCGACGCGGAGAACATCTAGAAGCTCCTTAGACTTGCTGGGCATAAAGGGCTGTAGGAGAATGCCGGCGATCCGGAGGGATTCGGCGACATTGAATAAAACTCGCTGAGCTTTGATAGCATCCTTCCACGGCTCCGAGAGATGGATGTACTTGTTACCCTGAACACGAGTGTCAGCAGGAATAGGTCGCAACTACGCATAGTGGCTTATCTTACCTGCTCGATTAACACCATAATGGTTTGCAAAGCGGCACGAGGGTTAAGGCTCTCCATATGTTCCCCCACTTTAACGGGGGTTTCCTTGAGCAACTGTTCAAATTGCAAATCTTGCTCGTTTGCGGCCGGAAGTTCGCCCGATGTCCCGCTGACAATGTAAGAATGGAGTTTCCCCTTCGAGGAGCCAATTGCTCGGAGCACTAGGTTTCCGATACCCGATTGGAGCAGCTTCTTGTAGTCACGGATGATGTAGGAGTTGTCATAATCGGCGTCTCCCGCCAAGCCGCCCTGGTAGGCAAGGAAGAAACGCATTGTGTCAACACCGAACCGGTCCAAAGAAAAGAAGGGGTTCACAACATTCCCCGTGGACTTGGACATTTTCTCATGGTTGATTGTCCAGTGTCCATGAACGAGGACATTACGAGGAAGGGGGAGATCAAGTGCCATGAGGAACGCCGGCCAGTATACACAGTGGAAGCTGTACGCTCATCAGTATCGTGCTCACAGTGCTTCTACAGAGACCTATGCCTACCGAACGATATCCTTGCCAACGACATGCACATCTGCGGGCCACCCAAGGCGGCCTTCTTGACCGGGGGGGAAAGGGTAGCCCGCCTTGGTCAAATAATTGACTAGTGCGTCCAGCCATACATAGATGGTCTGTGTATCATCACCAGGGACAGGGATGCCCCAAGTTAGCCGCTCCACAGGTCTGGAAATCGACAAGTCTTGGAGCCCTGAAGACACCGATTTGACGATTTCGGTCGTGTAATTTGATGGTGTAATAAAGCCTGTCTTGTATAGGTCCAACAGACGCTCCTGAAAAGCAGACAGGCGGAAGTGATAGTTTGTCTCCGAGGACCATTCGACTTCTTTCCCTGTCTCGACGGAAACCTGCATTGCTAGATCAGCTCGTGGTTCATTGCAAACGTTATAAAGCTGTAGGCTAATACCATTCTCTTTCTTCCAGTGGTAGGATCTAGCGAGTTCTGTACCTGCGACGGAGGATAGAATGTTTCATCACTAACGGAATACCACCCTTCATGCTTAGAGGTGTAAATGTAGCCTCTGTGATTCAGCATTTCCTATCATCGTTTAGTTCTACTATGGACCGCTTAGCAGGGCCGTCCATCACTTACCCAGAAATACTGTACGGACTTCTTGTGCGCTGCCTCCGTCGTCCGGATGAAGTAATCGTAATCCATATGTGCCGCCTTGGCTAGATCCTATCCAGGATGTCAGTAACCAAGGTAATACTACTAAACTGCGAATGCAGGACCGACCTCAAAGGTTTTGTAGTTCATATCGCAGAAGGCCTGAGTATCCATTTCCGCGGCTAGGGCGGCTTGCTGAATCTGTACCGTACAGTCAACACCACGAAATGTTTTCGATTCAGAGTATTCCTTCTACCTTCATGCCATGTTCATCGGTACCGGTCAATAGTTGAGCGCCTGTGTCTCCGCAGAGCGTTCGCCATCGCTTCAGGATGTCGGCAATTACCATTGTATAGAGATGACCGACATGAGGGGCTGTGGCGATATATATATATAGTTAGAAATAGCCCTTGATAAGTGGAAATTAGATAGACTTACCGGCATTCACGTAGAAAATAGGTGTCGTCACATAGTACGGTTTCTTGTGCTCTCCGGAAGGTGCTGTCGCGAATCTGCGCGGAGCGATAATTGAAGTCGGGCGAAGGGTTTTGCAGGTAGTACACTGCCAAGTTGGACGTTTATATGCCAGAAATTGGTTGGCCCATGAAAGGGCACGAAACCGTGCTCTGGGAAGAGCCATTGCTATCTGGATGCGGAGTGAGGAGGAGGATGACTCCAAATTCTAGACTGCTTTTGATGGGTGATTTATCGGAGTTGGAGAGGCTAATCTCCGGGTGGCCTAAGCTCCCGTACCTTTTTTTCTGCCGCCTGTACTTCTTCTCTCTCTTTTCTCCATCACCTTTCTCTACTTCTCTACGGACGTACTAATACTCCAAATCTATTCTTGTTTCCCACGATATAGTCACCTACTGCATATACTACTTTGGCTGTCTATTTTCCTATCGATCTGGATCGCGCAGGCGTCAATAGGTACAACGCCTAGTACTTCAAGTTGATTCTTTCACAATGGCCCCCGCAAGTGAAGATGCGCTCACTAAAGTGTCTACGGATGGTATATTTCCCCTGCATCAGACTGCTTTCTCTCTGGCACACTTGATTAATCTGTATTCTACCTCTAGCGGCTACGGAATTTGTGCAGTCATTCTACCCCGCCCTTCAGTCCAACCGCGGTACGATATCATCTTTTTACAACCAAACTATCTCCATGATTCTATTCAACGGCAATGTTGTCGCCGATGGCAAAGCGGTTCAAGAAATATTTGTCAATCAGATGCCACCAGCGCATTACGAAGTGCAGTCGTTCGATTGCCAAATCATCAACCCAACATATCCCACGCCTACAGCGACTGGGCTTAAAGCTCCGAACGAAACCACTCTCAAGGACAAATCGATTTTGGTGCTAGTCAGCGGATACGTGCGATTTGGAGAGTCTCGCGATCTTCCACAGCGTGGGTTCAGCGAAACTTTCGTGCTAGTGCCAAACCCTTCTGCCGATGGCCCCAAGGGCAAACGCAAGCGAGAATGGCTTATTGAATCTCAGACGTTCCGGCTGGTTGTTTGAGGGAACAATTCGCGTTCACAAAGAGAAGTGCATCTTTAGGGTCTATCCGTCCATCACTAGACCTCTCAAGGATATAATGGGGGGTATTATTATCGGGGTATGAGTACAAATCGACAAAATCCTTCAATCAACAACACGACAAAAACTCAAGAGAAACACTGAAAGTACCTGATGGAGTGCACGGATGGAATATTAACTCTGGAATGCGCAAATCCCAACACATCATAACAGCATTATCATGTTCTGGACCTCGGCGGTATACGAAGGTTTGCTTTGACTCGTTCCAGAAGCTCTTCACGTGTAGCTTCTTCATTTGGCATCAGCCCCCTCTAGGAGTTGCCGGCAGAGTCAATTAAGGATACACATATGAGGGTGAATAGGGAGGGGTTTGGATTTTCACAAAGTGAAGAAAGCACATACGTTACGGAGCCACCTTTTCATCTCTTCGGCAGTCCAAGTTTCAGGGTCTTTTCACAACGTTAGCCTCTAACGCTTTATCAACGATATTTGATGCTTGCCTCCGGTTGGGTCTGGTTCTGCAGGGAATATATCGCTACCCCATATGGCCCAGGCCGCTGCAGCAGTAACCATGCCAGCAAAACCTGAATGATTCGACTTTAGCGGTTGTCTTTATTGCTTTGCCACTAGCGATAAATACCTAGAAAAAGATTCTAGATGTCTGTCAGCTGATTTGTGAACATCATCCGAGGTTATCTACTGTACAAACCTTAGAGTGCATTGCTCGATCTAGGGCAGTCGGCATTTTGGCTTAGTTATTATGTCTGGATATACGAACACAATAAAAATGGTGATTTGTATAAGATGCGAAAATGACAGATGTCAGTTTTGATCGAGCTTGTGACGTGATGCCTCAGTACCAGGTACTTTATACTACCTGTCTGCATCCAGTATAGTTGCCGCCTAGCTTGCACCGCCACTCTGGTGGATTAACCCGATGTAGGAAGTTGACACGCCACAGAGAGGTGGCGCACGTAAATGAGGCTTCCGGGGCGGCAACCCTAACAATTCCCACACAACGTTAGCGCCTCACCGTCCGGACGCCCGCAAGTCGAGACTTCGAGATCGCGATTGTCCTTCACTCGTCCCGACTTTTTGCTCGACCATCCCGACTTACGTCCCCAATCACCGCCCACCATGCCTCGTGAAATCTCCGACATCAAGCAGTTCATTGAGATCTGCCGCCGCAAGGATGCCTCCTGTACGTTCTCCACGCCCGCTTAGACGCTCGGCGGTTTTGGGTTGGCCTTGGAGCTCTCCGACGAGCTCCGGCCGGTGATCGATGGGTTACGAGTGTTGTCGTTGGAACAATGGTGCTAACGGATGATTTTGCGACTAGCTGCCCGCATCAAGCGCAACCGCAAGACCCAGCAGGTCAAGTTCAAGGTCCGCTGCCAGCGCTTCGTCTACACCCTTGCCCTGAAGGACTCCGACAAGGCCGACAAGCTCAAGCAGAGCTTGCCCCCAGGTGCGTTGCCTTCCAGTCTTATTTGAAACCACTCGGTCGCTATTCGGATTTCAATCTTGCTCGCCCCACCGGTTTGCATACCTTGGGTGGAGGTTCCGGCACATGACATGAACCATGACGACGCGGCCATCACTACGTAGAACTTCATGCTGACGAATATACTACAACAGCCCTCAAGGTCGTCGATGTCTCCAAGGGTGAGAAGAAGAAGGCTCTGTAAATACCTTCAATGATTTGAAGTAGGGAGAGGTGGGCTCGGAGGACGGTTGCCGAAGCATAAGTCGACTGTCGAATGGGATTTGGCATTGGCATGGATGCTCGTGTGGGCCGGCACTGGGATGAATCGGTCTGACCTGTTTGATATACGGGAGGATTGGAAGTCCCTGCGTCTGTCGGATGCTGTGATCATAAGTCCGGAACGGCACTTTTCACCGGCCAGACCTACATATCTAAATCAATTTCCAGAGGATGCTTGGTCGGAGCTCCCTGGTTCTACTATCTAATGAAGAGAAAAACAGTTGAAATGCCGTGCACCCCGTCCAACTTGCAATTCATCATTGAGATTCTTGGGTAGAGTGTAGATGTTGCTGTGGGCTTGATCTTTGTAAGGCTTTCTGAAACTGCTCGATGTGTCGACCACTGGCTAGATTTGAGACATGCAGTGCCTAGGGATTCCGTTTTTCTTGGGAGTTATATATAAAACTACCGACGACGATCGCTTCAGCAAATGACCACATAAAAAAGCGTGGATAAATTGGACATTGAAATAGTATGATTCATGCATGCGGAAGACCGGCTATATTGTGGTTTAGGGCTTGGCGGGCCTTTTAGTGAAACACTTGTCGACTTTCCTCCAACTTCTGCCGTCACAGACTACAATGATCGTCGTCCGCCTTTTCATAGACACCCTTTCTTGACCCAATCCCGAATGATAGAAAAATTCCACTCGGATCTGTCATGCGCGAGGTCTGCCAGGCTGGTTTATATGCCAAGTCGAACTGCCATGCCGGCAATTTGGAGGCCAGAATGATGGTGCAGAACTCTCCTCGAATCAGGAATTAGAGCTGGCCTCCCAGCGCTAATCATTTCCATTCAAGTCACGGCAAGTTTCTTGTAGATGATCTTTATGCTATATGGATCACGGAGACCCCTCTCGTCTCGCTGGGCTGAAGATTCGATCCATAGCACGATACCTTTCCTAAATCATGGAGGCCCTGGCTGTCTCGCGTACCTGAATCCATGGCATAATAGCCATCGGTCCGTCAACCCGAGGGTCGATCAACTCCGGTATCAACTGCCCAGCAGGCATACCGCCTTAAGGAAAGCTATTGGGCGGACGCACGACAGACCTAGTGTCACATGGTAGGGCTGTTGCCTCGTCAAGAGTGCCTGAAGGTCATTTGTGGATCTTCATGGCGGACCTTGTTCAATTTTGGCAGAATTGGGAGATGTATAATCACGGCAATGCGTTCGGTATCCAGCATAGTCCACAGGAAGATGCTTGAGCGTCGAATTATGCAGCGTTGCAAGGTGTAGAATGACTGATACTCAGTTTAATTAGCAGTGCCGCCAAGATCTTCTATTGGTCTCTGTATTGGCATCTGTGAAGACCGAAGCATGTTTACCTGCCCCCGAAGTAATCCCGGATAATATCATCCGCTGGCTCAGGTGTCGCAGGTAGCCCATAGTCACAAGGGTGGAGCATCCCCCTCCCGGCTAGGGACAGGGAAGAGGAGCCTGGCTGGACCTAGCATGCATGGAGAGCATTATAAAAAGGCAGTGAGACGTCAGGAACTGTCTATTCGTTTCGTCTCCAGACACATTCTCTTCCATTCTTTCTTCTCGCCTTTGATCGAGCAGGTCTTTCAGTCACTGGCCACGGATTTGATATCCTTTAGTTCTATTGAATCATCGAATCATCCCATCACAATGGCTATGTCCAAGATCGCGTCGCTTACTGGCCTTCTGGCCTCCGCCTCTCTCGTCGCCGGCCACGGTTATCTATCTGGAATCGTCATTGATGGCCAATAGTATGTTCTAGGTTCATAGAAATGTTGTGATGGAGCTAACACCTACCCATAGTTATGGCGCTACCTTGTCGACAAGTACGCCTACATGGAAGATGCCCCAGACACCATCGGCTGGTCCACCTCTGCCACCGACCTCGGATTTGTGGACGGCACTGGATACGCATCCCCCGATATCATCTGTCATAAGGACGGAGCGCCAGGTGCTTTGACTGCTGAGGTTGCTGCTGGTGGCGAAATTGAACTGCAGTGGACCGAGTGGCCTGAGAGCCACCACGGCCCTGTCCTCAACTACCTCGCCCCCTGCGGTGGCGACTGCTCCGCAGTGGACAAGACCACCCTGGAGTTCTTCAAGATTGAGGCTCAGGGTCTCATTGACGGCAGCAGCCCTCCGGGCCAGTGGGCTTCGGATGACTTGATCAGCAACAACAACAGCTGGACCGTGACCATCCCAACATCCATCCAAGAGGGTAACTATGTCCTCCGCCACGAGATCATCGGCCTCCACTCTGGCGGTCAGAAGGATGGTGCTCAGAACTACCCCCAGTGCATCAATATCAAGGTCACTGGCGGCGGAGACGCCACACCGGCCGGTACCGCCGGTGAGGCCCTTTACAAGGATACTGACCCTGGTATCCTGTTCGACATCTACAGTGACCTCAGCGGCGGTTACCCCATCCCTGGCCCTGAGGTCTTCAGCGCCTAAATTGGAGGGTTGAATACGATGTCCGCGGGCAGTTTCATGAGTGGTAACGCCTTGTGGGGAACTACGTAGAGGCCGTTCCGTCTCTACTACCTGGCGATCTATTAGCAGTGGTCATACATTCTGTCTCATAGCTGTATTAGTCTTCGAATGTGAATATTGGTTACATCCCTTCGCATTGAATGGTAGTTATACTAAAGGCTAAAAACAAAAACACAAACAAACGGCATGCGCATCGTACCGAATAAACAATCATATCAGGGTATACATCAATCAAAGCCTATCTCCCAACTTGAACCTCATAACGCCGCCGAGCTTGGTACAGCACTCAACACTTACAAGTGAAGGGTCCATTGGTCAATATAAGAGTATATAGAAGAGAGTCTCAGGACATCGTCTACTCACCTCGATGATCATGTTCGATATCCGTATCTAGTTCATCCTCCATGGTCGACAGCTCTTCCACCACGCCCCATTTCTCCTCCCATTCTCGTAGCAAAATCAGTTCCTCCGGCGGAATCACCGCATCCTTCCCCAGCTCGTCCTTCATCCTCTGCACCCACTCCGCAACCTCCGCCTGGGACTTCTCCGTCGAACACACCACCGTGATCGAGTACGCGCTGGCGCTCATGCTGACAATGCTGTACACCCCATCTCGGACATGATTGCCGATAGCGATTGTGATCTTGTCAATTGAGGCGGGTAAACGGACGCTGATGTTTCGGAAATCCGAATGGTCATAGACATTGAACCACGTTGCGTGGACGGCCGGGGAGCCGGAGAAGTGGACATCTGGCTGCGTTGCCTGGTTGATGTCGCCCGGGGCCGGGGCCTGGTATTTTTCGGTTACAATGGGAGCCTTGCGCCTGGAGCGCCATCGTGTTAGGTATCTCATGTTGGGAGTATGCTGGGTTGAGTAGTAGTAATTGGGGATGTTTGGAAGCCGGGGTGTTTGGAAAAGGGGGGGGCCAAAAGGAATGCTTTACGAGGGGAGGGGAGAGGGATCAGCCTAGTGGTATGAGCAGAAGACGAGCTTCTTGCGCTATAAAAGGCCATTAGTTGGGAGTTTTATTATCAGGCACACACAGACGTCAGTGCCTCGAAGGAGCGTAACATGGGCTCAGGGAGGGTCAGATTTAGCCGGGGAGGGGGAGGGGAGGGATCACGACCCCATGTGAGGTTGCTTCAGGATTCCAAACCCTAGACCACTATCGCAGAGAAAAAAGGCGCTTGGATATTCCCAATTCCCACCTAGTTATGCCAGGTACCAATGCGAGTCATGAGAGGGTTTCATTGGATCGGGCAATGGAAATCCACAGTTGACGCTAAAAACGGGATACGATTTAATATCCATCCATCGAATCAAACCACATCGATCAGACAAGGTGTTGTTGTGTGTGTGTGTCCCAGAATCCAATGCCCACTACGCACGCCGATGATACTCCATCTCAACATATCCCTCAACCCCCGCCCTCTCCAGACCCTGATCCACACTGTCTCGACTCAAATCCATCCGTCTGAGCTCGAACTCGCCAAAGTAATTCGCTTCGTCCGACACCTTCCGAAACCCCGCGCCCTCAAACAGGCCCAAGCTGCGCCCATTTCCCTGCCCAATCTTAACACTCAGACACGACAGCCTCCACCCACTAACGCCAGCCTTCCCTAGAGCCTTGGCAGCAGCCTGGTCCCCTCGAACAAACTCCTCCAGGATCTCCCCTTCGTGATCCGCGATGTAGCGCAGAAACGAGAGCAGCGTGGCCTTCCCGAACCCCTTGCGCTGGTTGCTCTTCTCCGCGATCATGAGCTCGATCTCGCCGATGATCTGGGGGTCCGCATCCCCTTCCTCGCCGTCGTCGACGCGCAGGAAGAGGTTCACGTCCCCGATCATCCGCGCCGAGCTGTCATCGTCGTCGCGGAGTGGGGAGCCGCCCGTCCCTGTGGGGGAGGGCTGGCACACGATGAAGGTTAGCTTGTCTGCATCTTGGCGCCAGCTTTGTTGCATGGCGTATTCCTCTTCTAGCGACAGTGGTTCTGAGGCGGTTGCTTCTTGGATTTCCTAGTGTTGGTGTTAGTTATAGTGTTGGGTGAGTGTTCTATCCTTGCGTATGAGGAGATGAGACGATCGAAGGTGAAAACATACTTCATCTTTCATCCATTCGTGGTAGCGGGGCACGTGCCATTTCGAGTAGGGCACCAGAAGTACTGTAGAGGTAGAAATAGCTATACGGATCGGTTAGCGTACGTACTTGGTGACTGTGGAGGGGGGATCCAAGCGGGCGTACCAGTTTTGGCATTTAACAGCATTTTTTAGCGTGTCTGGCTTATGTGCTCCGGATACGATGTCTATATTACAGTGGATTTGTGGGGATCCGTAGAATTGGTCTAGATTGTACTTCTATTCGTGGGGCGGATTGGGAGGATTGGGGAGAATTAAATTCAATTCCTTAAATGAACTTTTTTTTATTTTTGATACGCGCGTCTTGGCATTTTGGGCCATTTGTTTATAGTATAACCATGCGGAATTAACATCCTCTGATGCTTTCTTGATGGTTTCTTTCGCTGTATCGTGTTGGAGGGAATTTTCGACCTTTGGAAATGGATTCCTTTTTTTTGAGTGATCTATAATAACATCCATGGATGGCGGATATGTTGCCTGTAAACGGCCGAAATATCACAGGTCCACGCACCCTATAGGGAAATACGGTTGAGTCTATATCATGGCTATGTAAGGTCTCGTGGGCATCTCATGAACCATTGGTGCCTAGTTTCACATACAACTCATTGCTGTTCCTGCTGTCCGGCGTATGTGCCGAATTTCACGACTTCTACCTCCAGCGTCTCGGTATCAACTAGTACCAGTTCGCCGGTTTCCTTGAACGTAGGAATGGATAACAGACGGACTCGTGGGCCAGGTGTGGTATCATCCGTACCGGTCATTTCTGTGTCGGCTCCATTCAGCTTCAAGGGAGCGTCGCCTTCTATTACCGCAGTCTTGAACTGTGGCTGGTTGCCAGCGAAGAAGATATGCGGACACGCCTCCATCACGAAAGGATCGTGTGTTTGGAATGGATAGGACCCTGTGACAATCAGCTACTACTTCATTTCAAGAAATTGACGCGGGAAGAGAGAGAGCTCACAGATTGTATCAGGTGCCGTGGGAACACCACACCTCCAACGCAACATGGCCTCCATGATTTTAACCCTAGCCTCGGCATCCCCACTGGCATCAACAGTACCACTCGAATTCGCAAAATCTAGATAGCGAAGGACGTCGTCGACATTCTGGCCGCTCGAACCCCATAGACGCCATCCCTCTATGTCACCTTCCCATGGATTCGTGACGCTATCGAACCATCCTGGCTCTGGGGTTTCTCCAGCAGCCGTGGGTCCAGAGCAATATGCCCGAGATCGCGGAAACATAGCTCGGTGGATACCCTGTTGGGGCAGTGAGAAATTGGCTGGGTCGCTTGCGCCTGCCATAAGGGTAACAGGTATGGTGGGTAGAATCTCGGCGAGGAAGTTATCGAACTGGGTAATTGGAGAAGCATTGTACGCAGACGCATCATAGCCATATTTCTTTGGCCCACTTTTTTTCTTGGAAGCAGCTGCATGTTCGTTAGGGTCGGTAGTCATGCTTGCACCGAGAGAATTTCCCGCAATGACCAGCCTCGTAATTGCAGAAGCATCTGGGGGCGCACTCTCGTCATTCGCTGATGATTGGGAACCTGTGTAGCCAAGGAGATAGTCTGTTAAGAGCTCCAGAGATAATGTGTCGCTCGAAGTTCCCGTAATCCCAAGACCGCTGACAAAAGCAATTTTGCTTTTGCCAGTTCCTTTCTGGGCAGACTGCTGTTCATCCCTCTCCCACCGACGGGGTTGACGAGCTAGATCAGGGACCTTTACATCGATAACCTCAAAGTCTCCATTCGAGTTCTCAGTTCCTAGCACGGCAACTATAGCTCCTGTAGCCAGTTGGGTGGATCTAAGCATGTTTCCGGTCAACCGCAGACGACCGGACTCGTCTTCTAGCATGATTTGTGTCAATTCGGGGTGGGCAGGATCAAGATAAGTCGGGCGAGGGGGAGGGGCTGATGTGAAGTTCTGCCATAGCATTAGCATGTACAAGTGTATGGGTAAGAAAACAATTGTCGACTTGCCTCTTTCGTCAGGTCATCCAAAATATTGGGTTTCAATGGCAAGTCCATGTAGATTGTGCCTGCAACCCAGCAAAGCTCTCCTTGTCGTACATCGAGCACTCTTTCCACGCGACGAGCATGCTCCCCAGCGATCTGTTTAGCGGTTCCAATGTGTTAGCAAACATTCGCCGGAGATTGACCTCTTTGCTCGGTCCATAAGGTGCGATTGCGCGCAAGATGCGCCCCATACTATCGCAAACCCAGCGGGCAATTCTTACACTGAACCCTTCCCATGTCTCTACCGCAATTTCCTCCACTGCCGGTTTTAACTTGGCCAGTCGCAAGAAGTACATATCGCCATATTGTTGTTGATAGTGCCTTTCCTGGCCGGAAGGCAATTGGAAGGTATGAAGAGGGTTATAGCTGGAGGAGGAGCGATAGACTGGTGCATATTCTTCGTCGCTGCGATTAAGAGGAGAGGGAATGTCAGTCACTGATTGACCATATAGCTGGGCGCGCAGGATGGGCACACCTTGGAGGGCGCAGAAATCGGTTTTGCGTACTGCCAGACGCCATGTTGCGAAGTTGCTCCTTTATCGCAGAAGGTGGGATGTTTTATCCAGGAGTATATATCAGCCCGAAAAAGGTAAGATGTGTTGTTGTGGATGATGGGAGCTACTAGTAGGTTGCTCAGTCTTGCAACTGAAGTCCAACGCGAATCACGCGTCTTTTGGCGTCCCGCGGGCGGCGTAATTACAGTACCGCTTTTGGCCAAGGTTGGATGCCCCGGGCCACTAACTTACTATATCTTCTACCACCATCTTTTAAGTTATTCAAATCATTTAATTGAGCTATAATGCAACACTATGCTAATTAGAAAGAACATACTGCTACCTGATTGGAGCAGCGCAGGCAAAAGTCAAACCGACACCTTTTAGTAGTCAGACATCCTAGAGAGATGAATGGCAACGTTGAGTTACTGTCAACAGTTCCAGGCGACAGTGAACGGAAGGACTACTTTAACCCTAAATTGAGGAGATATGGCAAATTAATAGCTTGGTTCAATTTTCGGCCTTGACAACGAGTCCCCGCGGGCCGGAATACTGCGTCTTGATAAGGGATACGAACTTTAGACTCCCAAGGGGGAACTGTAATTTATACTGATCCCTTCATGAGCTTTGAACACTCATTTGAATGTCTTGGACTTAGGTTCTGGATATGAAGTGTGCACATTCTGCGCTGGCAGAACCACTAAAACATGCCCACGCCCCTAATAACTGTCGTGCAGAATCCAAGAAGTGAGGTAGATTAATATGCATGTATTCAGTAGACTGCAATAGGTAAGTTGTCACAGGAGCAATGCCCAGTTGCAAGGGATGGCTCAAGCCACAGGGCTGCTGTCCATTCCACATGCCGCATTCCTTCATCAACTTTGACTCACTTCTCGATCGGTCATTTCCTCTGTTGACGTACTGCAGTATTCACTTGATTGGTCATGTTCTTTCCTTTTCCTGTCCTGATATTCTGGAAACGAGGCAGGAACATGGCAGGAAATGGAAGGGGCACCTTTTCCAACTATAATATGCCTCTTCCATCCATGCCCCATACTTTACCTGTTAATATACCAACAGTTTCATATTAACTCTTCAATCTCCAGAGGCTGAACTATAGTGGATTATAGGGGGTCTCTAGGGAGTCTCAAAAAGAGCCAAATACACCATCAGCAGTGTTGCATATACCCATTTCTCTGAATATGAAGGTGTCACAGAACAGCCTGATAGGCAGCTTCATGGTTCTCAGCCTGCTGCCATATGTCCTTGCCACTTTCCAGTTGAATGCATTCGTGAGCAACATGTCATATCGTTTGTTTCAGCGAAGCCTACCAGGGTCGCTTGGAACTGCACCCGAAGGAGCAGTGGGCTACTATCAGCCGCCACCTGGACCTATTGCCAATAATGCTCAGCCAACGGAGACCAGGCCCGTGGTGGATAGCGCAGTGACAAGCAAAACAGCAGCTCAAGGTCTATCGCGCGAGCCAGCTGAACTCAGCGGCGCACCACCTGTGACAACGTAAGTTCGATGTGCGCAGCCTCATCGAATGATACAGTCACTGATTCTAGATCTGAAGTAACGCGCAAGGCAACTTTGCCATCTTGACTGGAACCGTAACCAAGACACAGGCGACGATGGAGAGCACACAGGCGGCAACAGCTGGTCGAGATGTTGGTTTAACCCCGGCCAGCCTATTCCTCTCCGTTGTCCTAACCGTGTTGCAACTCTAAGGGGTGGGGGTTCTTGCTCTAGCTGGTAGTCTATCTCCTGTCTTGTCTGCCATCTGTTGGCACCATCCTCTAAGACCCTTGTCACTGTCTTTGACCTACTATTGAACACTCTATTCTTCAGTGACTCTTTAATCCTGGAGCCAAGCTTGAATAGCATCGGCGATCATAAAGTCGATCGTTCTTAATGAATAACTGTATAAAGCTTGTGAGAAGAATTCATAGTTCTGACTGAAGAGAAAACCAAGTTTTGTGAAATATTATACAGCTGCTTATAGTGAGCATAACTAAGAATAGGTTCATGTGGTGACACTGGTGAGGGCAATGGAACAAAGAGAGAGCCGAAGCCTCGGTTCGGACGTCGATCATCAGCTTGATGGACTCCGCTTCCCCGCATTCGTGCAGCAGGCCCCAAGCTGTTCACATTTCATATCGCTCCTGAACAGTGCCCCCTAAATAACCCCATTGGCCCATTGCTGGCACAAGTAACCATCGGCCAGACTTCTAACTACCGCGGCTCGAGAGTACCGGACGGTAAGAGCTGCCAACTGTGATCTTGGACAGTGATTCTTAAACCCCTGTAACTGACTGAAGTTTATATAGCATCTCAATTATACCACGTACCTTGTTGTACTCTGCTCTTGGATAATATTCTTCTACTCCAGCTACTACAATGTCTCTTCAAACCCCCCTCTGCTCACTGCTGAAGATCCAGCACCCCGTCCTGCTGGCAGGAATGGCGCGTGCCTCTGGAGCCCCTCTGGCAGCCGCTGTTTCTAACGCAGGTGGTTTGGGAACAGTCGGCGGTCTGGGCTACACGCCCGAGCAACTTTCGGAGATGTTGACGGAACTCAAGGCTTCCCTACGGGACCCTTCTCTCCCCTTTGGCGTTGATCTGGCCCTACCTCAAATTGGCGGAGGAGCCCGAGCTACAAACCACGACTACACCAACGGCCAGCTGGACCAGCTCATTGACGTCGTAATTTCCCATGGCGCCAAGCTCTTCGTCTCCGCCGTGGGTGTGCCCCCCGAGCGCGTCATCAAGAGACTACACGACGCCGGCATCTTGATCATGAACATGGTCGGAGCTCCCAAGCACGCTGAGAAGGCCCTCAAGCTGGGCGTGGACATCGTATGCGCCCAGGGTGGTGAAGGAGGTGGTCATACAGGAGAAATCCCTTTCTCCGTGCTTGTCCCGGCAGTCGTCGACGTGGCGAAGAAGTACAAGAGCCCGCTGACGGGTCAACCTGCCCTGGTCGTGGCTGCGGGTGGCATCAACGATGGGCGCAGTTTGGCCGCATCACTGATGCTGGGCGCTGTCGGTGTCTGGGTCGGCACCAGGTTCGTTGCCTCGAAGGAAAGTAGCGCTAGTCAGTTGCACAAGGAGGCGGTCGTTGGGGCTCAATTTGGAGAGACCAAGCGGACCTTGGTCCTTTCCGGTCGGCCGCTGCGTATGCTGCCCAACGATTACATCAAGGACTGGGAAAAACGACCGGAGGAAATTGCCCAGCTGACGGCTAAGGGAATCGTCCCTATTGAGCATGATTTCAACAAGGATAAGGAGGACATTGAGATTCCTTACCTGATGGGCGATGTCTCGGGTATTATCAAGGAGATTAAGCCTGCTGGTGACATCGTACGGGAAATGGTCCAGCAGGCCGTGGAGGTGCTGAGAACAGGAGGGACATATATCAAGGCAGGATCTGCTAGCAAACTTTGAGTGTGATGTATCTCAGATATGATGCGACCCTGATGGGTAACGTCGAAATGGATTTCATAGTAACATAATGATAACGTTTAGCCATTCATGTTTTCACATGTACATACAAGTACAGAACGAAGGGAACAAAACTTGAAAGATCATGCTTTACTGCCTTTCTAAAGCTAACTAGTAGCATGAGAGAGCAATGGCAAGCGACAATCCTCATGCAAGAAGCCTTATTGCCCCAAAATTTGCATACATAGAGATGCGACACGGAACGTAGCCCAGCACAACACACGACAGCCTGCCAGTGCGCATCTCCCTTTAGAAGCCAATTCAGCTTAACAGGGCCAATTGCCGAATGTAGATTTAGTAATAGCACTCAGTCAGATTGGGACATTGCCAAGTTAGACAGAGAGCGCCCTGACAATCCAAGGTCGGCAATAGGTCCAAGAAAACCAGACTCGACAAAAAAGCAGACAAAACCGGGAAAACAGGACGATCGTCAGTGGCATCCATTGAGCACAGCCTTGTTCCCGTTGGCTCGGGCCTCCAAGAGGTTCGGTGGTGGCGGCGGTCCAAACACAGGCTTCTCGGGCTGCTGTGGTGGTATGTTGCGGTCTCCGTTCATGTCCCGGTCCGTGCTGTCTTCGTACTCATCATCACTGATGCCTTCATCATCTTCCTCATCCTCGTAGTCTTCGTCGTATTCACTCTCAGTTCCCTCGTCGTCGCCATCTAGATCGGCCGCAAGACCTTGTCCACGACCTTGAGCTTGCATTCGGCGGCAAAGCGCCTCAAGGTGATGGCTCTTCTTCCGCCACTTCTCAAGTTCTTCGTGGTTCCTGGTACGTTCTTCGGCCATCTCGAGTATATTGCGGTTCGTCTGATCGTGTTTACGGGTGAGCGTGAGATTTTCCTTTTCCAAGCGTTTGGTCTTTTTTGACATTTCTTCCATTTCTTTGCGAAAAGTCAGAAACAATTCGTTGCTGTTGTTCAACGTATCCTCCACCTGCGATATTATTATTACCAGTCGATCAAAACCAGAGTCGAATCGGGTCATCGATCTCGATCCATACCTGCTTGAACTTCTCCACGTAGATGTTGAGCTGGCTGCGTAACTCGGCCTCGGTATGTGAAAATGTAGAAACTTGTGAACTCAAAGCCCGGCAGCGAGCGGCCTCGTTCTCGGCAGCACGGCGTTGCTCTTCGTACTTAGCAGTGAGGCTCTGTATCTCCGCGTCCTTGCTGCGCAAGAGTGACTTGTAATGCACTTCTCGCGTTTCGAATTTCTCGCCAATGGTCTTAATCTTGGCACGTAGCCTAAAACACGAAACCCTCAGCAACAGAAATCGCCTTGCCGGATTATAGTACTTACGCTTCATCCAGGTCAATATCAACCTTTTCGCTTCGAGGATTGCCCTTGGCAGCCATAACGTCTTGAATATCATACAGAAGAGAATCAAGACGTTCATTCACGATCAGTCGCGCTTTCTTTTCGGTATCCTCCAACTTCTTGTTCTCGTCCTGTGGAGCAAAGGCCATCAATTCTCCGCATCGGAATCATTGCGAGTAAGAGCAACCCACCTTGACCTTCTTGTTTTCTTTTGTGAGCTCCCTGCACAGCTTCTCCAGTTTATCCTTCATAGTCACAGTCTTATTCAGTTCCGACTTCCCCTTGTCTTGATCCTTTTGTAGTTGATCAGCCCGCTTCTTGCTTTTGGAATAGTCGCGATCCAGCTTTTTCATGTCGGCCAGCAGTTCGGTGTACTTTTTATGTACGGTTTCAAGGCGGGTCATTGGGGATTCGATATTGCTGAGGAGCTGGTTCAAGTCTCGTGTAGCTTTCTTAACTTCACGCTCTGTAGTCAGTTAGTACCTATCCTCCACACCCAAAAAGAAAACCGAGTCGACAAATATCTCGTTTGCGGAACCAAGCCCCAGAGGCAGATCACGCACCAATTTCCGCTTCTTGGTCCTTCTCGCCAGCAGCATCCTGCTCCAGCTGCGAGATCTTTGCGGCAAGGAGTTTGGAAGTCTCATTGGGATCGGCCACTTTCTTCCCTTTGTTCTTTTTCGACATGGCTGCAGATGACATGGTCGGCTGTTACCAGGTGGATAAGGCGAGTGTAACTTGTGCGGTTTTCGGCTTCGTCGGCGGTGGTCGCGTGGCCAATCCACGAAATTGAAAAATGCGCAGACGGGACGGTGAGCGAGGCGGGCGTAACCAATCGGTGGCACTAGGGCAAAACCGCAACGTTCGTTGGCACTTCCCAATCCTACCCTGATAGAAAAGGTCTCGACGGTTTCGAGAGTGACGCTCGAGTTCAGGCGGAGCACTAGCGGAGAGAACCCTGGTAGCCTTCTGCTAGACTTGCAGAACTCGGAGGTAATGGATCACCAAGATCCTACGCAATCCAAGTTCTGCAGAGTCTCGGGAAAAAACACACGAGCGGAGGGCAAGCAGCAGCGTATGCCGTGAAAGTGCAGCAAGCAGGCTTGCGGGGATCGACGAGGTAGCGGCAGGTCTTTCGAGAATCTTTTGCCGGGGAAGAGAGGATCGAATGGAAGCCAGTGAGTGGTAAGAGGGGGGATGTTGCGCACTTGACCAGCACTAACCCCGATTCGAAAACTTCTCTTGGCAACCAATGATTAATATCAATCCATTTCAGTTCTCCAACCTCTCCAACTGCCACGCTTTCCTTCTCGCCAATTGCCCAAACCCAATTACACATCCTTGGACGGTCATTCATATAAGTCCCTGGACCATTTGAAGAGTGTCTACCTCCATTTCGTTGCGTGCCTCAGGTTTTACACTTCCTCCCGGTCCGTCCGGCCGCCGTGCGAGTGGTTCTTCCGATCCATTGCCTTCGTACCTTACAACCGGCAGCGGACTTTCTTGCCGGGCGAAGAACCTTACTAAGGGCAGAGCGTACCTCAAAAAAACTCCGCAGCTCTATTAGTAGTGTCCCTAGGTTTTCCTTGTCTTATTTCACATTGTGCAGCGTGATGTTGCGTTCTTCTCTGGGGGCAGGCAAAAGCCGAGTGCCTGTGTTGCGACAGCCTAGCTATGGACGCTGGCTAAGGTCCAACAACCCTTCACTTCGGTGGAATCAATTTCGGAGAGCTGCATCGACAGTAACTAACCTCGAGAGCTACCCTAATGTGGGAGAACAACTTCATGGTTTCACCGTTCAGGAGAAGAAGCACGTCCCAGAGCTACACCTCACCGCGGTCCGGTTAAAGCATGACAAAACAGATGCAGATTACCTTCATGTGGCGAGGGAAGACAAGAACAATG